AACAACAAACCAACAAGGAAAAACAAAAAGAATGCTGATGTTAGGCTAAATTCTCAGGCTATGTTTCATTACTATCACTGTTACCATATATCAAAGACTTTCAAGCCAGTTCTGATACTTCTCCCCTTGGTATTTATAACTCTGATTGTTACATTCTTAACTGTCTTCTTAACTGTCATGTTCTTAGCTAACCTTTCCCTCTTAAAATTTCTTAGTCCACATTATTTCAGCAAAGCAGCCTATCTAGTTGAAAATGTCCCTGCTCACTGCAGGAGGGTTGGACTAGATGACCTTTAAAGGTCCTTTCCAACTCAAACCTTTCTATGATTCTATGATTCCATTTCCTGTGCTTGGGAGGGTGAATCTATACTGTGTATTAGGAGCCTGTATCAGCACTAACAGGATGCAGACAAGAAAAACATGCATTTTATTAACAGGAACAAGAACGAGAGTGTGAAGTTTTGGCAGAATTAGAATGAAATGTTTGTACATGGAACAGAATAAGAACTGGAACTAAAACATTTTTCATATAACTAAAATAAGGCTTCCAGCAAAGTAGCTTGGTAGATTTGGAAATCATAGGACCTTAAAAGAAAATGCTTAAGCTCAATGAATGAAAGCTTTAGCTGTCTATCTGGAACCGTGTCTCTGGCATGCTGAAAAAGGCTTTTTTCATTTGGGTGTACAAATGAGTTACGTCCTAGAGCAATAAGCCATTGACACTCTACTGACTAACAAATAATCAAAAATCTGGAATCTAACAAAAAAAGGAGATAAAATTAATGCTGGTTAATAAGAATAAAAAAAAATACTCAAATTCTCATGCTGGAACATAGAGCATGGTTCTCACAGACCGAAATATAAATAGGAAGTAGCTCTGTGGTGTGAATCTAAAATAAGACCAGGAGTAGCCATAAGTGTGATGCCATCTCATGTATCATAGCTCTGTCTGCTGGTCAGCACTTCCTAAACTGGACTAGCATGTTTCCATATTGCTTCCAGCAGCAGCTCAAGAGTCTCCCCACAATCCAAACCTGTGACAGAGCAAGCTTGGTTTGAAATTTGCTAGATGAAGTAGGAATGTGTGTCAAAAAAAGCTGCCATTCATTGTATTGGTCAGCTTTACAGGCTGGTCTTCTTCTTAATTATGGCTTTTTGTGGAATGAAATCTTTATCTGGGGTAGGCGATCATGGTCCTCAGTAGCTGGCCAGAAAAGCATAAAAAGCCTTATTTCTTCCATAGCCAAAAAGAACATATATTTAGCTTGAAGGATATGGAAACCTTCTCTTTTGAGAAATAAATTACACAGCCTTTTTCATTGCTGATTTGTGACCTTGAGATCTGTAAGATTATGCAGTATCCTCCTTTCTGACAGCTGCAAATTTATTACAACTAATGTGTTAAGGGGAGCAGCCCTTTTATTAGAAGCTTTTACAAGGAAGGAGATGAAAGTTGCTAGTGAAATGGATGCTGTGGGTGTAGCAACCAAAGACAAAGCACAGCAATCACACCTACTTGTTTTTACACTTGTGGCTTTTGGGAACTGATAGGAAAGATTACTTTTGATTTATACCTATTTAGAAGAAGCAAGACCTGATAATTATTAGGTAGCTCACCTGTGTCATGCAACAGCTGTGCCAAAAGCCAACAGTTGAACTACAAGACAGAGAGGTCTAAGCTGCCACTTCTAGATGCAGTCTAAATCATGGCAGAGAGTTGCAGCACTACTCTGCCTGTAGAGTTCAAATTTCCTCAAATTTCAGGGCTCATCTTTAATAATTGGCTAGAAATGAGCTCATCTTTACAATTCCTTTTAGAATTCCTTGCCCAGAGAAAGCTGTTCTTACAAAAAGTTTCAGTACACTAAGATCCAGATAGCTTTTCTGTCATTAAGGTTCTATGTATGTTCATTAAGGTTTTGTTTCTTGGTTCTTGCCATGCAAGCAATGCAATTAAAAAGTAGAAGCAGGTGAAGACTGCAACTCTTTCTGCCATGATTCAGACTGTATTTAAAAATGGCAGCTTAGACCTCTCTCTGTTAATATCATACAGCAAAGTAAGAAAATACGAATCAGCTAAGTGGAAAATGACCTGAGTTTTACCATCTTTTCCTGAATTGAAAATTTCCCAATTTATCCCCAGAAAACCCTTGGAGAAAAGCCACAAGGAAACTGTTACTCAGCTTTTGGTGCTGAGAAGTCAAAAGAGTCCAGTTGATCCAACAAAGGATTCTTTACATGCTAATCGAAAGAGAGATTCAGCAGGTGGTCACGCTGTTTAGGCTCTGTGGAAAGAAACTGAAAAGGCAGAACTACATTAGGCTGAATCTAGCATGGACGTGACATGACTACTGCATTTTGCATTTGACATAATGGATATCTTCAGCCAAAGCAGCCAAATCCATGGCATTTTTCCTTTCCAAAGAGCATGACGGACTGCCCTTTCTTGGAAGGAAGTGGCAGCTGCCACAAGACTATAATAGTATCTCAGGCTTGCTCCATATAAAGATATTTTCTAAATTTAGAAGGAAGTAACTTGGTGGCTTAAAACATTTCTCAAGAAAAGATAAACATTTTGCTTCTTCCATTTATTTTGCCCATTTCCAGCTATTTACCTGCCTCTTAGCTGTCCTGAGTGTCTTGCATCCTAAATTAATTTTAACTGTTAAATGGAACTGCTAAGATCACAAACATTACCATCCACCATCACCCACCTTTGCAAAGGGACTGGGCAGACTTCGGGGAAAGTAACATTTTAAGTTGTTACAGTAAGATTCAGTAACACTCTCAGATGCCTTCTCTGAATGGAATCTATGCAAGCCAACTATTTCAGTGGGAAGCTGATAGGAAATGACTTAGGAAGAGGATATCTTGTAAATCCTGCCCTTCTCCATAAATTAAAAGAGGAAAGGAAAGAGTGAGTAGCAGTCTTTTCTTTCAAATCACAGGAAGAAGATTCTTCCTTTGTATTCATTGTCTTAGAGGATACAGCATCTATCTCACATGTAGTAAACCAGACATCAGCTTCCTCCTCTTCTTAGGTGATTGGAGCCCATATCTAGTAGGAAAATTCCAAATAGCAAGCCAAAGACTATCTTATGCTAGGCAAGGGGTGTATTTAATGCCTGTTGAAGGATGGCATAATATTCTCTAAACCAGAACCAGCAGAAGAGTGAGCTGTATTACCTAACAGTTACAGAACACACTGAGCAGTCCCTGATCTCATAAAGATATCTCAATTTATATTGGCTACACTAGTGGCATTAGTGTCTTTACAGTTGTAGCTTTCATGGGCGGGCTTACATTACCTGCTTAGCATTGTCCATCTATTTCCATGAACAAGGCATGCTAATAGAACAGTGTAAATGAGCAATGCTAGTTTTTAACCTAACCAATTAACTTACAGTGACCCACATAAGGGTTTAAGATTGAGGTTTGCAGGCTGAAGTCTTCTATTGTTCTGCAGAAAGGAAAAATGTGATTTTTTTTTCTCTTATACTGTGCATATGCAGAGATCAGTTGCTACCTGCAGAAACCAGGTCTTGAACATAATTTAATTCCTTCTGTTCAACTGAAATAATGATGATCACAATGTTTCAATATGAAGTTGATTTTTACACTATATAAACTGTTATGAGGCCAACAATTCATTTGACATGCACCACCAAGCACCTCACATGTGGCAACTCAAGATTTCTGAACTGGCACTAGTAGTTTTCAGAATAGTTTCCCTAACTAATCAGTTTTCATCCCTTCTCTAATTCTAACAATATAATTGCTACTGTCCAAAGCTAAGAGCAAATGGTGCTGCTCATAATCAAACCACTTGAGGAGATTAGTCTAGGTAGAAGGGTGAGTGGATTTGCTTGTGAGTATATAACACAGTTCTCTTGTGCTGTAAATCAGTGTAACTCTAATGAAATTTGGGAAAAAGCAGCATTTCACCTTTAAACATAATTTTAGTTGTGCCTAATCACAGTGGCCTCAACTTTTAAATTAAAAATATGTAGGTATACACATATATATGCATATATCTTTCTATCTACTCAAAGGTTCTTTACACCTTATATTGCACTTTTGCTTGCTCACATCCACATCGCCAGAGTCTCAACTCAAAATTTCCTGGTTCTTGGCAATGTCATGGTTTAAATTCAGTCAGCCACGCAGTCTCTCTCTCACTCCCCTGCCACCCCCTCACCCTTTTCTCCCCCCCCCCCCCCCCCCCGGCTCCTGGACAGATGGGGAGGAGAATCTAAAGAATGTAACTCCCATGGGCTGAGATAAGAACAGTCCGGTAACTAAGGTATAACACAAATCACTACTGCTGCTGCCACCGATAATAATAATGATAAGGGAAATAACAAGGGAAGAGAATACAACTGCTCACCACTCGCCAACTGATATCCAGCCCAACCTGAGCAGTGATCTCGCCCTTCCGGGTAACTGCCCCCAGTTTATAGAGTGGCCATGACGTGCTGTGGTATGCAGTACCCCTTTGGCTAGTTTGGGTCAGGTGTCCTGTCTCTGTTTCCTCCCTGCTTCCCCTCCTCCTTGGCAGAGCATGAGACTCAGAAAGTCCTTGGTCAGACTAAACATTACTGAGCAACAACTAAAAACACTGGTGTTATCAGCACTGTTCCCAGGCTGAGAGTCAAAAACACAGCACTGCACCAGCTCCTAAGAAGGAGAAAAATGACTGCTACTGCTGAACCCAGGACAGGCAATTACTATAGGTTTTATTTTAATGAGGTCCTTCTTTTTTATTTTTATGGCTTTCCAGAAATAAATTACAATGAAATTATAAAACTTGGGGATTGAAGAGATGCTTGAGCTGTGGGCTTGCAGGTTCTGATGGAGTCTCATAATTTGGCCAAGACTGAGGACCCCACAATCCAGTGCAGCTCCTCCCAAGCTTTTTTAAAAAGAATAGGAGGTTTAATATAAATTGCATCAGAAGATAAAATATATTTTTTTAATTTACTGTTTATTTATTAATGATTTCTGGTTGAATATTAATTAACCTATTAATCTGTTGATCAGCAAATTGTTACTACTGACATAATAACTTCTATCAAATAGTCTTTTATAAAAAGTTAATCTCTGACTATTTTGACAGATCCTAAGTATACGTTGCTGTTCACTGAAAAGATAAAATATAATAGAGTTACCAGAACATTATGGGATATAATGTATGCTTATTTTGAAATTACCTTGCTTAATCCTCTAATGTAAAACATATCATACTCTTATCAATTTAACAAGAAAAAAAAAAGAGAGTCTATTTGTAGACCATATTAGGATATCAACCACAAGTAATATCTTTTCTAAAGAAGAATGCTGTGTAAAGTAACATAGAAGCATTCAGCTCAATAGAGAAAATTCTCTCAAATGCAGCAGTATTATCAGGTGACTGTCTCATGTCCTTAACAGGCTCTATACTTGACAACAAAGTAATGTCATAACAATACGATACTTATATTGGGATATTCAGAGACACACAAACTTTCCAGTGAAATAAACTTCACTGGTGGAACAAATTACTGCAGGTTTCCAGCAATAGCCACTTTATCCGCTTTTTTGACACTTTCACCTCTGCGCTGAAATACAGCAACTTATAAACAATGAAATGCTATATTGTGTACTTTTAGGGAGTAAAGAATCTTTAGCAAATTGCAGCTGAAGAGGAATTTTGGTAGATAAAATTTGTATCACCATCCAAACCACGTCATACAGAACTTGGATTTCCACTAGAGATTTTTCCATTCAAGTTCACATTCAGACCTTCTTTAATTTAACATTTGCCAGCATGATAGTGAAAAGTTACATTGTACGTGCAAGAAAAGTCTGATTTTTTTAGCTACTGAGACATGTCAGAGTTTATTCTAGAAGGTATGCCATTGATGAATATGTAAAATACTATCATAACAATAACTACAACAAAATTCAGGTCCCAATTAATAAGAGCCTTCTTATAAATTGTGAGGTGCTTGAGGAAAAAAAATAAAATCTATTGACACTTAAATGGAAAAGGTGCATCAAAGCTGTTTGCGATAAATGTTGCAATTAAACACGGAAAACTGCAACTGCATTGACAACAATAAGGATAGCAGACTAAATATGCAGGGTTTTTATGGTGTAAGAATATGTTTGCATTAAAAAATGCTCTTGTTTAATTTGCAGAAACACATTTTAACCTCATTCTAAGTTACATTAACTTAATTAGATATTGTAGACAGAAGTAGGCACTTAAAAATGACACAATTTTAATTGACAAATCTTCTTTCTGAAGTGTTGCTCCCACCCTGCTGAAATGCTGGTTGCTATCAAAGCCAATAATTTTCATTACTAGTTTAGTACATTTGTCAATAATTCCATTTGGAAAATCTGATTAAAAAATAAGTGACACAAGATCTGTTACCATCAATGCTTTTCAGGCATGCTCAAATCACTCTCCAACTGCAGCTACTCCATAAGGTAGCACCGTGCAATTCAGTGAGCTAAATTCTCAATAATGTTAGCTTATTATTCTGGAAAAAATCCCCTGCCTTTTCTATTTCCAGAATAATTATGGGTTTTACACAACCAGCTTTGGTGTGATAATGATAATCACATTCAACTTTATTTGTAAGACACTAAAGTATGCTTTCTACCATACATATAACTGGTAAAGCTTTAGTTAATATATGTTTCAACAGTGTACTTCAGGAAAAGTGGGCCAGCTGGAATGAGTCCAAAGAAGAGAGACTGATTGGCAATTAGGAAACATGACCCATAAAAAACAACTGAAAAAACAGGTGTTATTTGAAGGAAGAATTCTGAGGAGGGGTTTTTTTTTGTTTGTTTTTTAATATTTAGCAGATTGATGCAAAAAGGAAAAAATAATCTGATTGCTTATGTTCAGTATGCAACTAATTAATATGCTTAAATTGCAATAAGTGTTACTTAAGGTAAATGTTGTGGATTTTTTTCTTATGATAGAGTAATCTAATATTTTACATAAACTGCTATAATGATATTTCAATCTTAAGAAAATTACATGCCAAAATTTATGTATCTTGCCTTTGGGTCATGGAATAAGACTATCTGACCTCTTATGACTCTCTGTAGACTTCTTATTTTCTTTTGATTCTTGACTATCAAGATATTTACAATAAATTTAACTCCTTCTGTAAAGGCTCCAAAATCAGGCCCTAAATGTGTCATGCTGTTCATAATCATGATGATCATAAATGTAGCACTTATAAAACTGCAATGTAAAATTCCTTACCTCACAAAGTATCAGTGAGAATATCCTTAAAAATTACCTTGTGATCCTGACAAATCCCAGCAGTATCTAAAATGGAAAGGTTACTTGATCGCGAGCTTTTATTTTAGTGTGGTGCCTTCCTGCTGTCTGTATCAAAAAAAAAGAGTGCATGATATAGTCAAAATGGCATAAACTCCTACAAGGCCAAAACCACAGTCATATTTCATTTACTATTTTCTGTTTCTGATATATTTAGTTTACTGCATTATGGTTTTTGAATGCTGAAATTCATAAATCATGGCAAGGTCAGCTTTGTTCTCCTGAGTACACAAATATTCTGTATAATGTAATTCTTCTTAGATATCCAACCCCAAAGAGGTCTTTGACTAAATTATTTTAAAACAAACTCTGTTTGAATGCACACTATGTACATGTACTTCTTCTGACAAGTTATCTGAGCTGAGAATAACTCTGGCATCTGAATTCTACACATACAAAACCAAACAGAACAAAAAGAATCTCACAGCATTCTAGATAACCCAATAGGGTGGGGTTTTTTTCCTATTTTTTGAAGGTAGAATTCTTCCCCCCCCCCCCCCCCCCATTTTATGTTAGCATTCATTTTGATTGAAAAAATGGTTTAAAAATTAGGATTAAAAAATACAGCATCTTTGGATTTAATAGATTAAGAAAAATTTAGGGGTCTGGCTACCTTCACTGAACCATTGCTGTGTGCTGCACAGGTGCTACAAGGGACTGGCCGTGCGTGTAACTAAGAATTCCTTCAGAGAGGGACAAAACCTCCTTGCTGCTTTAACCTGTTCTCATGTTCTTGGCTCAGCCTCAGAGCTGGAGATGTGGCAGGACCACTTCCTTCTCCTCTCACCCCTGATTTCTTCGTGGTTATTACTGGCAACAGTTCCTGTCTCAGCCTCTCATAAACTTGAGCTGTGAATCAGGTACCTATCCTTCAGCTGTCCCTTGTCTACATTCAGATGTCAATAAAGACGATAATCTGGCTCTTACTTCCGTTATTGTGAGATTGCAAATGACATCACTAAATCTGCAAAGACTGACTTCCCAGATAGTGCTGATTCCCTTGCAATTCAAGACCCTCCCTTGAAGTTCCTCCTCAGTTTATCTACCTTTCTTTTTACCCCTGAGACTAATATTACATGCACCCTGCAGGGACAGGGAGGCGGATTCCTTCTATTCATCATTTGCAGCCTCCTAGGCATTATAGTTCTTCAAACAAATCTTTCCTGAACTGGCTCCTTACTTTGTTCCTCCCATAGTCACCTATGTAAAAAAAAAAAAAAAAAAAAAAATAGGCCAGAGATGTTATAAAGCACTGTCAAAAGAGAACTGGATATGCAGATGGTGGTTTTACGCAAACACTGTGCAGGTTTAAATGACAAATGTGGAGGCTTCTACATCTAGCTTGAATCTATCAGAAAGAAGAGGGAGATAACAATGTTAGCCTCCCTCCCCCTCAGCAGTGGAGGATATGGTAATCTGAGGGATTGGATCACTAGATTCCATTAAATTCACATAGCTGCCCCTTTCCCTGCAGCACTTAGGCTAGGTTTGGTGGTCTGCTATCCATCTTACTAGGTCTACTACCATCTTTTCCATTTAATTCCTTATATACATTCCATTGATTTTCTTTGTCAATTACTTCCACAATAAAAAAAAAAAGATTAAAAAAAAAATAGAGCCATATATATGGGTTTTACTGTTTCCCATCACTAGTTTCTAGAACTAATTTCAGTTAATCCTTGTTTCAACTAACCATCTTTCTAGAATACATTTCTACATACAGAACAGAACTGCTCAGAAGGGAAGTATGAGTCCTTATCTTGCAAAGAAAATATATTTGCTGTTCGGCCAGCCCACGCTTACTGTTTTTCATGACTCTGGCAGTGACCCACAATGCTGTTTCATTCTTCGTGAGCTAATAACTAAATACATGCATCAAAAATACTGTCTCTATCTCTAAGAATCTGCAATTTAAAACTTATAGAATGATAAAGCAACAGCTGGAGATAATTTTTTTTATTTCTACTGAAATCTTATTTTTTTTAGAAAGTGAATGTTTATTGTCTGCAAAGCACCTGGAATAAAATAAATCCAAATAAATGACAATGAAAAGGGATTTTCTTCCCTAAATTGTTCTATAGATTTCTTTTTCCCCCCTAAAGTACTGAAGCAAAAATATATCTGTAACCATGGAGATTATACCAGGCAACATGCATAATAATTCAAAACGTGGCATCAGACAAATGTTCTTTGTCATGACTGGATTACTACAAAGAAGTAGGTTTCCCCTAAACAATTTGCAGAAGCAGGATAGATGTGGTTAATTTCCCAACCTGCTTTTTTGGCTGGGGAGGAAGGGGAAGTCTCAGCACTATGGTATGGGCAGCAGACTAGGATTGTGTTTGCTTTGAAAACACATAGCTTCCCAGGTTGTTGGTAGTTTCAACTCATAGATATGATGGTTTAGATAGACTCATAGATATGGTTTAGTGGGAGGTGTCCCTGCCCATGTCAGGGGGATTGGAACTAGATGATCTTAAGGTCCTTTCCAACCCTAACTATTCTATGATTCTATGATTTGCTGAAAAGATATTTATCTTCCATGAATAGTCACATCAGAGCAAGTAGTCCCACCATGCTGCCTGCACAACATTAAAGATGGCCATGGAGACATATAGTTATAGAATAAAGAGGAAACAGCTCCAATTAACTTTTAGTTTGTGTTTTTTTTTTTATTATGTACAAGTGCCCAAAATCTATCTTAAAAAACAATTCAGGCATAATCAGAAATACCAAGATTTGGGTAATTTAAGTGTTAGCTATAATTCAACATTCTTTCACATTTGGCAATATTTCTTTCTCTGCTTATTCCTTCTCTGCATGGATGGCATCAAATAGTAAATAGCTCTCAGTCTGCTAGCTTCTGATGCAGGATGAATATTGATGTGGTACTTAATCTGATACAATCTGTAACACAGAGAAAGAATTACTGCAATCAGGACATCTTATAAAAAACACTTGAAAAGAGAAAGTCACTTTTCTGCTTAACGGGTTAACTAAAATCTGGTGTTTTGCAGTTGTTTGAGTTAGGAGGAGAAACTGATGATGATGCAAAGATCATTTAAATCATGTTTACTTACAAACAATGTAAAAAACCTTGGTTTCCTACAAGACAGGAAAAATCAGGAGATATTTCCTTTTTATGCAGTCCTGAAGTACTCAGATGTTTCTCAGAGCCACACACACCTACTTGTTTACTGCCACTGTAATTTCTTGTTTCCAATTCCTGGCATTTTTGCCAACCCTGAAATTACAGATTATAGTAAATCTCTTTCCAATTCCTCCTCCTCTATTTTATTTTGGCAATAGGCCGTTGTTTCACCTATCACTTTTATAAAGCTGGGTTACCTTTTTTTTTTTGTTTGTTTTCATTTAAGTGACAGGCCTTTTTTATGCTCTCCAAATTCAAAATACAATTTCACTCAGCCTTCAATGGATAGAGGTAGAAGGTAATTAATCATTTCCCCTCTCTTCTATAAGAGGCTACAAAGAGGCCCAGTGTGAAAGAGTTAACACAACTACTTAACCTATTACTTCTGTCCCAGAGGATTGAACCCCCCCGAGATCAATTGTAAGAATGACTTCCATTGTTTCCCAGAGTGGGTGTTATCATGCAAAGTGCTGTTTTTCTAGATGGATTTTACCCAATATATTCAATCTAACTTCAGTGTGTGGAACTTAAATAGGTCAACATCGAAAAGCAGGAAAAAATGGCCAATTAAAGCAGCAAGAGAAGGTATGTTTTCCTTTGTAAGTGACATGACAGCTATTTCTGACTGTGATTAGTAACATTTCAATTGGCCAGACAGAATTTGGATTTGCAGACTGATTGAAGAAAGATGTGCAGTAAATATAGCAATAGCCATTATAGTTTTTCCAGAGCACTTGGAACTGGTCCGTACACAATATTGCAGCACAATAATAAAACACTCAGAATTCATTAGAAGCAGGGACATTTCCATTTCAAAGAATCATAGAATGGTATGGGTTGGAAAGGACCGTAAGATCATCCAGTTCCAACCCCCTGCCATGGGCAGGGGCACCTCACACTAAACCATGTCACCCAAGGCTCTGTCCAACACTGCCAGGGATGGGGCATTCACAGCCTCCTTGGGCAACCTGTTCCAGTGCCTCACCACCCTCACAGTAAAGAACTTCCGTATGTCTAAACTAAACTTCCCCCGTTTATTTGTTTGACTTCCAGCCTCAGGATTACTAATTTATGCATCATCAGTAGAATTTGCACTAAAACGTGTAACGTATTGAAGATGAGCCCTTCCTAACTTCTGGATCAAAACAGAGACTGGAGGGTTTGTGGGCTCAGCCTGCTAGCGGGGCTCTCTGAGGGTCCCGCTGCTGCGGCAGCTCCCCACAGGCTCCTTTCCCCTCACAAACGGAAACAGAAGCCGCGGCAGCGGGGCGTGCAGCCCATTCCTGCTACTCCTCCCGGCTGCCTCCGCAGTGCTGAACCCCCCTCAGCACCTCTAACACCCCTCCCACAGCCAGCAGCCACCCCCCGCCCCGGTACCAACCACCGCCCCCTCGCCCCGCCTCCCAAGCCGCTTGGCCCGAGAGCTCCATGTGACCGCCGCGCGGGCGCGCGCGCAGGGAGCCGAGCTCGGCGGGAGCGGCGCCGACGAGGGCGGAAGTGCGCGGCGGGAGCGCGCGGGCGGTGGCACCCCGATGAGAGCGTGGGGGGCGGCGGCGGTTAAAGCGGAGCCGGGTGGCAGGCTGGACCCACAGCGCGGAGCCGGGTCTTAGCGCCCAGGGAAGAGGGTAAGGGGTGTGTGAGCGCGCGCGCTTCCGAGCGACCCTGCCAGACCCCACCCTTCTCCGGGGTGTGGGAAACTTGACTGTCCTGGCCTTGCCGTCTCGGTGAGGGGCCGTGGGAGCCGTCGGATCCTGGCCGCGGCCTGAGCGGGCCTGGGCCCGCCGGCCGGGGGATGCGGTCGAATCGCTCCCGTTCCCTCCACTCTGTGGGGAGGGAGGCATTCCCTGGATGTGCGGGGCAGCCCCCTTCCTCGTGGGTGTGTGAGACGAGGAGAGCCCGGCGGCTTCCCGTACCACAGGAAGGACGCAGTTCCTTGGCCGTCGGAACGCGCTGGGGCTGTGGGTGAGGAAGGAGGTCGGTAAGCAGAGCCTCAGGTGTAGCTGGTGTCCTTAGGGCTTGCGTGGGAGCCGGAGTAGGGTGAGGCTGCAGCCCCTCTTCTGGGTTTGGCCGCTTCCTCTGCGTCCCGGTGGGGCTGAGGTGGAGTCAGCGAAGCTGGGTGGCTGCTGTGACTTGTGCCTACAAGTGGAGCTCTGGGGAAGTGGGCAAGGAGAAGCTGGCCTTGAGCGTTGGTTTCTCTGGCCGGTTTCTTCTGTGCAAGCTCCTCTGCCTTCCCCTGGCTGCCCTGGAATAAGTGATAATGTTTCATCTCTGGAGGATAAACAGAGGGTTTAAGGTGTTGTTGGTCCCGGCTGAATCAGAAGTTTCTGAGGGATCTTTTTTCATCTGGCCAGGTTCTCTCTCTGTTGCTGTTTATTCTCCCTGCAGCCTTACCGGTGTAGATCTTGTGGGAGGAGAAGGGTGGTGCCTTAGTGTGACCTTACCTGCAGAAGGGCAGGAGAGCGGTGGTGAGGTGAAGCATCACTGACAGTGTTTCCTGAACAGCCGGTGGAGGCCTAACTCAGTGTTTGTGCTGGAGTCCTGTTGAATCAATTCTGGTCATGAAAGAGGAAGCTTAGTCTTGAAAACCCCTAGGTATTTTCATGCGAGAAAGGGAGCAGGGAGTCTGTATCTGCACTAGGACCAGCTTTGCCTTTTTCAAAGCTTAAGTCTGCAGCCTGCAGTTGCTTTTTGTTTGTTGAACTGTCCAAATGTTACTTCTGTAGTTCTGAGATTCTTGCTTCTCTTGTGAGGTGCAGGGAAATGCCTGCATTTTCCAAAACATCCTCAGAACAATGATTTTTCAGGAAAAATGTTTTTTTTGTTTGTTTGTTTGTTTTCTGATGCCTTAAATGCCCCTTGTCTCTTCTTCCTTCTCTTTTCCCCCCACCCCCAACTCAAGTTATCAAAGCTGAGAGCAGGAACTAACATAACTGGGAACCAGACTTGCAAGTGATTTGCTTGCTGAAAATAACTTCATTGCAGTGAATTTAATAGCAACAGCTCAGTCTTACTTGGCAATAGCATCTTTACACTTATTCACTTGTAGCAGACTTGTTAAATAGTTTTATCTACTGCTTTAATCACTTATGGCCCTGTGCACTGAATGTAGATTTTTATTTTTTTTTGTTGCTTATGATCAGATGATACCAACTTACCATGGTAAGAATTTTTGCATTTACTTCCTGTAACTTCCTTTACTTTCTATTTTAAGTTTTCAGACTACTATTGTAAATAAGTTTGTTATATTAGATTAGTAGTAAATTGTTTGTTTGAACACCTCTTTTGGAGTAGGCTAACTTGATTGTTTTGCATGCCTGGAGATAACTGAAGCTGCCCTGTTTTCACTGGTGTTATGTATATGCTGTGGAGGAATGTCTAGTTTAAAGATTTATTTGGAATGCTTTACAGAAACTCTGAACTGAAAGCTTAATTTGGCCAGGCAATGCTCTTTCTTGGTCACCCTTTAAAACTCTAAAACTTGTCTCTAATTGTCAGTGCAGCGGTACTGGGTATCTGGGTAGAAGAGCAGTTGAGACATTTTGATCACGTCAAAGCAGTAATGATAGGACAGCATGGATATGTACACTGAAATCCTGGATGATGCACAGATTATGTGATCTGATGCCCTGTTCAGGCTTCAAGCTTTTTCAGCTGTAACTTAACTGATTAAGCACTAACTTATTTGGCCAAACGGTGCATAAAATGGCTTGCTTCTCTGAGGAGTGTTGGGGTCCAGGCTCCACAAGCAACAGAACTGTCTTGTTAGTAGAGCAGAAGTGGACAAGTGATACAGAAGAACAAGCCCTGATGTCATGATCTTGGAATCTGGTTTGTAGTTTGATCTTGTCAACTCTGTTCACTTTCCATGCAGTGGATACTTGTATTTTAAGTTGATAATTTCGTATTAACTGAATTCAGACTCCATGTGAATAAGTGAATTGCTTTTTATTACACAATGAATTAATGGCCTCTTTTAGCAGAGGTACTGAAGGGGCCTGTTTCTCGTGACAGCTGTGCAGGCAGTAAGCACTCATAGAAATACAAGTGCGTAATGGTATCAAGACAAACAAACGGTGCCTAAAGGTCAGTAGTTTTCTTGTGCCTGGAGCAAACAACTCAGCGTTGGAGTAATGGTCTGTGGGGGTTTGAGTGAAAGGCAGTGGCTGGGAAGGCTGCAGAAATAGATGAACAGGAATGGGATGCTTGCTGCTTTTTACAGCCTGCGTGCCTGAGTTCAAGTAACTTTTGCACTTGATGCTGATCCTGATTATCAGCCAGGTTAGCAGCTATATTCTCAAACTCTGTCTTGACTTGGGTGTGCTATCCTGTTGATAAAAACCTTCAGTAATTTAGGTTTCATCTCTTTACCTTCCATCCCCATGTCTCTGGTAACTATTGTGCACTACCATCAAGCAGTGTTTGATAAGGTTCCATTGCTTGTTACCTGCTACTGTGTGGAGCAGCAAGGCTAGCAAACAGGTATGACTACTTCACTTTCCTAGTGGCAATAATAAATTTTGTGGCTTTTGTTCTATGATGCAATTGATACCTGCCTCCTGATAACAGGGTATAGAGCAGATATTTTTGAAGTCTTTGTCAAAGAGCAATCATTTTGCCCATAGCTCCTTTTAGCCCATTAAACAGGACTAAGCAATTGTCATCCATGCCTGCCATAGAAATATCAAGTTGTCTTGTCATTTAAGCAAGATAAGTCTATATAACTTGTGCTTTGTCTCTTCATGTTCTTCCAGATACTGCTTTTATAGAAATATTAGAGGATCTGTTTTGTCTTTTGTGCTTGAGATGTGCAAATATGTTTTTCAAGACCTGTCAAAATGAGAGTCATGATGTCATGTAATGTGAGAATGTGATTTAGGCTGCTAAATATCTTCTTGAATCGTTATGGTTACAGAGTGCTTGCCTAGAGCAGTCACTTTCAACTGTTTTAAAAGGAGCCCTGTGCCCATAGCTGTATTAATGCTTGCTGAATCGGTTGAGAAAAGAACAAATAATGGTTAATTACAAGAGGGAAGCTTAGTGGAGATGCAGTCCTGACTAGAAATCTTTGCAGAATCACATGTCAAAGACCAAAAATTTGTCCTGGGATTATAAGTATTTGTTACAGCCTTAATCCTATCAACTGTTACTTTGAATTAGTGTTGCTGTCAGTTGATGTGATTAGTATGAAATATTTCAGGTCACTATAAGTGCAATGAAACTAATGTTTTTAATATGCTCTTCTTAAATTTGGAATGTGGCAGAACTAATCTGAAGTTGAAGTGTAGAACTGGGGAGCTGGGAATGTCCCAAGTCGTTCAGGTGCTGTGATTTCTCTGGTTTCTAGCTCTCTCTGTATGTATCTCTACCTGTAATGAAAAGATCATTCTTCAGAAGAGTACCAGAGACCTGAACTTAGCCCCACCTTTGAAAGTGGCTTTGTCTGTGTAGATGGACATGTTAAAGAATATTTCTGATTTATATTTAATATTGATAGCAGATTTGTTTGCAAGCCAGTAGTTTAAATTATGGGGTGGGGGCGGGGGGGAAAGCCCACCTTATAGATAAGACTGGAATAGAGTACTGCATTACAGGATTATACTCAAAACATGACACAGTACTTTAGCAGTTTAAGTGTAGGAGCTACCAGAATTTTGGACTCCATGTTGCAGAACACTAACTAAAGTGGCCTTTTTTGAAAGGAGTTGGTTTGTAATATTAGTGCTACTCTGCTCAGCAGGGCACTGTCTTGGGCGCTACTCTAAAGCAGACATTCAACAAGTGAAGTGTATTTAGATCAAGCTGCATGCCAGTTGCCCCAGTTTCCCAGAAAAGAGGTGGGTTTGCAAATGGAAGAAGCTGCTCCCTGATTAGAACGAGCTGATTCTAAAGTATATAGTGATTGCTGGTACAGCCTTTCCACTAACCGCTGCTGCAGTAAGAAACTACTCCCCATGATGATACTCTTCTACTATTTAGTGTTTTTGGCTTACTGTGAGATCGCCTTTTTGGTAGGTAAGGAATTCTCATTAGTGTAGTAACCAAGAAGTCTCACTGTCTGACTTCTATGTCAGCCTTCTGCTTTTATCTATCATATCATAAAATAGACTAGCTAAGCCACTTGAGGAAATAGTTTTTCGTAATACAGGAATGTGTGCTTGAAACTGATGCTATTTGTCATTCTACTTTATAATTTTTAAAACGCATTTTAGGAAACAATTTAATTTTTAAACAATTCTGCAAGCTCTTGGAGAATTTACTTTTCAGTTTATCTTACAAGGCAAAGTAAAATCAAAATAGACTTAGTGTTGAAACCATTCTGAAGCTATAATGGAAGGAAACCAGTTAAAATTATTAGACATTAGTCTGGTGGTACTGTACATCTGTATCTTCATTTAGTTTGTGAAGCAGGGATCAAGCAGTGATCTCGTCCAACTCCTTAAGTATTCACAACTGTCATATATTAGTAGCTTTCATGTGATGACTGTGCCTCTTATTATACTCTTGTAAATGTAAGTTGAGGTTTCTAATGAAGTGTTAATCATTAAAAACCTGCTGTAAATTTTCCATCTCTGCAGTACTACTTGTCCAAGTTGTCAAATAGGCCTTCTACTTCCAAAGACTCCCCATAAATAAGATTCATAGCAACCGTGTTGCTGGGGCACAGACTTGAATTACAGAGTTGCTGAGGCTGGAAGACACTTCTGGGACTGTCTAGTCCAGCCCTCCTGATCAACGTACTAATCCTGATGCATAAACTGGCTCACCACCCATCCCTAGGTAGAGCTTTGTACGTTCCTGCTCTTCTCATGAGGAGGGCAGCTCTCCTGCCTTGCCTTTCTGGCCTGTCTAATTGGATGCTACAGTAGATGGCTACAGGCTCTTTAGGACAATGAGAGCTATCACCGTGAGGTGATGAACTTTGCAGCTACACACAGACTCCAGCATCTCCCATTTGTTCCCTGTGCCGCATGCATTAGTCTACAGAAGCACCCTGTTGTGATTATATCCCAGGAAAGGCAGAAGAGCTGAGATGAGCTGGCTGTGTATCAGAATAGTAGTTTTTTATTGGTAATGTGCTCTGTGGAGAAAGGAAATGTCTTAGAGCACACAAGGATAAGTGTTAAGTTTATGTTCTGCATTAGCTCTGTATTTTCGTGTGACCTCCTACTTTTTAGGTCATAAAGGGAAGTGTCCTGGGCTAAATGTGTCCTAATTTCTTTGTGTTGAAGTCAAGTGACTCTAAGTCTGCCACCCAAACCCAGAGTTAACAAACATGATGAATTGTCCTACTCTTCCCTGTGCAGCACTTTGAACGCTGTGAATGTTTTTATAGTGGTAGGCAGAGCATTCGTCACAGGGGAGACCAAGGGTAACACTTCTCCAAAAA